CTTACCTCAAAGTAATTCCAGAATAGAATTGAGATCTGCCACTTTCCCCGTTAACACGAGCCTTCGGATGAGGGGAATGGCGCGTGCGGTGGCACGCAACTAAGGCGTGCCCAAATGTTTCCAGGCCTTCTGCTCTGCCTTCTTCAGGGATCAAACTTTTGTGTTGCATTTATTTGCGCTTGCATCCAGGGTGTGAAATACAGAAATCTAGAGGTGGAGGTTCCATTGTAACAATTCTTCGAAAGCAACGAACTCGAAAAATCGCTTTTTAGAGAATTTTTGCTTTATTCTTGGGTGCTCGGTCCTGTAAAAAGTCCCAAGTAGACTACTCGAGTGGCTTTCTATCCACTACAGATGTGGAGTCTTTAGAGTGTCTGGCTGGGTTTTCACATCAATTTTTTCATTTTGGGAGTACGAAAGTCGACAAGGGGAGACCTAGTTTCTGCATCTGATAATTATCCTGGTGGTAACTGTAACTTTCGAGTCCCCGAATTTTCCATCTGTGGTGGTTCCAAACTTATTGAAGAGTTGAACTGTTGCTCATAAGAGCTTCCTGATAGGTTAGACTGCGCTAGATGTAACGTGCCAGAGCCCCTAGTGAGTTCAATTTGAGGACTGACTAAAGTGAAGTAGTTATTTCACTAGTTTTGAGAACTTCATGAAATTTGGTTTCATTAGGAAGAAGACATTGTACCCTTTCACATAGTGCACAGAAAAGGAGATGAAAATGGAGCGATACGGAAAAAAGTGGATATGACTGCGCGCGCACGCGGTCCTCATAATTTTGGACCACCCTGTAAGATCACAACATGAGACGTTGAACCCGGACAAACAGCGCTTTTGTAAAAAGAATAAGGTGAGAGTGAAGGACACTCGGTGGGAAATTCCCCCTTAGACAACCTCGACTGGTGAGAAAAAGCTTATCTTTGGCTATTCGGGTGGATCTCGTTGCAAATGGAGGGACCTTCGTCGTGACCCGCAGCTGTACTCAAAGAGACATTTCGGAGGAGGCTCATCAATTGTCTGGGGTGGTTTCAAAGAAGTTTAAACTGGTGATTGGCTCGCCAGCATGTCACATAGACAGTTAGGATCAAAAAGAGGCGCCTGGATTCCGACTTATACCTTTTTCGAACTTGTTTTGCAGCAAGCCCAAGGAGGGTCCACTACCCGTATTCCTTCTGGAAACAGGTATCGGAAGCCTGATTTAGAACATGTCGAACAAAATGATTGAGCCTATCAGAATCTTTGGTAGGCCTACCATTCTTTGATTCTGAAGATATTTCTGTTTTTCGAAAAGTGTTTGCTACAGGGTAAGCAGGGGAAAGTCTTTCCATTCATTAAAAAAATCTAAAGCTGCATATAGAACGGTGAGAAATGAAAAAAATCTAAGGTGAATCAATCCAGAATTTGAATGGTGTCCATCTGATGGTGCAGAAGTCAACCGTTCCAGTAGGAAAAATTTTAAGGTCCACATACTTTTGATACCCATGTGTATTTAGGGAGGGTAGAGGGAGTTTACTGGTTTCAGTGAAGAGATTTGCTCGAAAACATTGCATCACTCCACGAGTAATAACCAAAGAGCGTTAATCTTTCCGCATTTCCCCTTAAAACATAATCAGATTTTTGTTCTTGGCAGCATGCCTAAACGACGTAAAATGTTCGCAAATTTTACATTTCACCAATATTGATGTTGGAAAATGTTAGCACTCATAAACAAACGTGTTTTAGTAAATCACTTACAAAGGTGGTGGAATGACCTCTTAAAAAGTCGCGCAGAGTCCAACCATGCTTTCCTTTTCTTGATATTTTACGCTGGTTATCCTATTCGCGTGTCAAGAAATAACTTTAGGCTCGACTTCACGGGAACAAAAGCAGGCTTTTATTACCTTAGTAATGTTGTTGCCGACACCATATCTGTTGAACGTCTTTCTGGAGACTTCCTTAGTGAGGTGAGTTTTGTTCATGCTTGTCCGTTCAAGTGCACGGCTAACAAAAAAAATACAGGGTACAGGATGCCTTGGACAGCATTTCTCCATCATCAGAAAACCAAATGGGAACAGTTTAAAAGTTCCAGTGATGATTTCTTATTGACTGCGTGAACTACGCGCAATATTTTGATATGAAAATTGATATCGCGTTGTACACTCGGTAAATTGCTACCGGTTTTTCAATTTGGAAGTTTCTGGATGAGGAGGTATGTACAGATAAGGGAAAAAAGGGTTCATCTGTTCAGAACGACATCCAGCAATGCCTTATCTCACTTGGAAATGCTTGATTAAGATCCCGCTGCAAAAGTTTTTCAATATATAAAGCCATTCGGTATCACCTACAAGCTCGGAAGCTTATTGTAAATTCTTCATGCTGAGCTAGCTGTGTAACATCCTTGTCCAGGTCACTGGTGAATTACATCACAGATACTGCAACTCTAGTTGCGCAGGGTCCCTATCAACTATCAGTTAAGGCAAGGTAGTTACGGTGCCGTTTCGAGGGTCAACCTGTCGAACTGCTACGATAACGGTGGTGAAACCGATGGCGAAATCCAACGGTCTTGGTAGCAGATGGGGGCCATCGCTACAGTTTTGCCAGACGTTCTTTTACTTGGAGTCGACAGTGCGTACTTGGCGCGTAGTAGGCGCCTTCCTCGATCGATAATGCTAATTTCGATACATTTTTTCTGTATTTTGACGTTTTGTGTGCCGTTTTGCTTTTTCTTGCGGTTGTTTAGCCCAAAACTTTTCCTTTTTGTATGGATTACTGCTTTTGCTTACTAATGAACCCACTTGGTGCTTATTGCCACTTTCAAACAGTGTATGAACCTAACCATTCTAGGACAGTTGAAAAGCAATGATTCACACAAAAAAGAAAAAGGTTCTCGCC